AGTAACCCTCATCCAAGTTGAATGCGACAGAGAGACTAACCACGACTCTCGGTAACGATAGCCGGAATTCCTAGAATTCGGTCTCCCACCAGTAGTTTTAACTCCGGATTCGGTTTCTAACGAGAAGCTATCGATGGACGTCGAATTGTGCGAAATACGTACAAATCTTGTAGCTCACAAAAGCGCTCCAAGCGGTATCCCCTTTAAGAGACCCTGGAGGTCATGGGAACCTTAGATCATATAATAAATAGATACCAATACTCAAACTGAAAGCTGTGACTAGACATGAAGCTATCTGTTGTCGTTTTCTACGTCAAGGGGAGTAGTATAATGCTATCCTTGTGTGATCACCACATCTTCATCTTTGTTATATGCATTTCATCTGTATATGTCTATTTCACTTCCATCCTTGTACCGCACCAGCGCAACAAATCGCTTTTGACAGATGTTTCTTCTAACCTCTCTTTCGACTTGTTGTACAAAAAACAATTTTAGAATTTAGAACAAAGATCCTATTTTAAGTGATGTAGTCATAAGGGATCACAATTGCTGCCCAATAATTTACTATTCCTTTCGTTATCTACTGTGAATTATTTATAAAATCAAGCTGTCAACATCTTTCTCCCGAAGTTAGTTCAGACATACTTCCTAAAATTTAGGCGCGCAAAATTCAAATAGTGATCAGGCAAGGATAGCTTCATTGCAATCCCTCCATGCACGAGAGAGATGTGTGACAGGAGGATGTCGTCACAGGCTGTCCTAGGGAAAGAACACGGCATGGTGGTATCTATTTATTATATGATCTAAGATGGGAACCGAAATTCAAACGAAGACGAACGAAAAAGATGACCAAATTGAGCTAAAAGAAAAGCGATTACTATTCATCATCACAGTCAAAAACGAAGTAATAGAATCCCTTCCGCCCGCGTTGACGTAACAGAACATTAAACGAAAACAAAGGAAATCCGGGACTCTTAGGGCAAAGCTAAACAACGTCGACCTCCCTATTAGTGGTTGTCCAAAAGTGAGGTTAGTCAGTTGTTTACTAGTAGAAATGCACGCAGATGATGGAGAACGATCTAACAAAATCTAACCGATGCCGATGTATGAACTTTCAAGGGGACGTTCCACGGCGTATGTGTCCTCCTGGATATTATTATTATTATTATTATTAATATTATTATTATGTCAATGATGGTCAACAGGCATTAGCCTGACCAACTTGGCAAAATAGATGACCAACAGCTGAACCCACGAAGGCAAAGTTAAACAAATTGAATATAGGTAGAGCTTATTTGAAACCAGAAGTACATCGAGCGGGAGGGATGAATGCGCGAAGCGCGAAAATGAGCGAAGAGTATGGACGAGTCAGTAGCGGACCATTAGTGTTGTTATTGGGGTTTGTACGTGCTCGCGTTAGTATAAGAACGTACAAAACAGGTCCAAAGAGTAAAGGAAGTTCGTTCTCGACGCCGCTGATTCTGTGAAAGTAGTGCTCATGCGCACTGAACAGTGTTTCAAATACTGGTATCTGCGCTCTTTTATTTCTGTGTACTTCTGCTTTCAAATAAGCTCTATCTACATGTACAAAGAAAAAACCAATTTATTTAAATATATCAAATACATTCTGTTCCGAATTGTATAAAGCACACATGTCGTATATGGGTGAGTGTTTTACAACGTTTAAGTGAGGAGTAGGCAAATAGAAGCAATCATGAGAACGAGATGACAATCTGGGGACGAGCAAATATAATCGACTTAAAAGATCCGGACAATCAATATGAAAATGAACCAACTTCTTTAGAAAATTCAACGATGCAATAGTCCGTCCACAATATAAATCTCTAAACCCAAACTTATTTAAATGAGTAATATGGGACGAACCCCTTGGTGGATAAACACCATCCGTCTTATAAGCTAAGTACTTCATAAAACGTCTTTGAATTTCCTCCAATGTGTCTATATGAATCCGAGAAAATGGAGACCAAACAACACTTGCTTATTCAAACTTGGATCGCACATAAGCAAAATATAAAATTTTCAACCACAAGATGCGAGGATATGCAAATGCACGAAAAGAAAACAACAAAAAAATGGCACTAAAATTACAGAAACCTCTGGAATGGTGAGAACCATTCAGTTTCTTATAGCAAGAACCACGCTGAAACGATCTAAAGGACCGACGAAAAAAAAAACATTCATTTGAGCCTCTCCAAACGACAGTCCACCGCCACAGTCCTACGATTGGGGGAGTCAAAGGCTCTGGACGCACCCTCCACCAAAGTTGTTCATCATTGCTGCCGTGCCCTTCCCAACCACCCAAATTACGAAAAAAAAACAGCCACAAAAAGAAAAACAAAATGAGAGAAGTACTCCAAACGTAAAAAAAGTCAATAACCGATCCGTTTCAGGCGCAGCAATTTTTTAATTCGTAACACAGTAGGACTTACCTGTTGGAAAATGAATCTAAATATGAGCCTTGTTGTTAATTTTTTAAGCCAGCCATCGCACAATGTTAGACATTGTTGGTTGACGTAAGGGAACTAGGGGCTTGTTGTAACAGGGGTAAGTTATAACACTAAATTTTTACCCCGAATTTAAACACTTTAACGTTAGGTTTTTTACTAAATTTAATTCTTGCACCATAAGACATCATGTCATCACAACCACTGTTCCTCCAGCCAGCGCAGTGAGTGGATGTGTGCACGTGTTTCGTTTTGGCCAAATAATATAAAACATTGCTTTAGTAAAATTTGGTTTTTCGTATCTGTTATTAATTAATTTTAAACTTTTAATTTTGCATGTAAGTAGTTCAAAAATTACTCAGCTTTGATATTCCTTATACATGTTGACGCTAAGCGACATAATTTTGTCGAAATGTAATTAAATGTAGAAAAATGTGTTACGGGGCATGTTGTAACAATATCTGAGTGGCAAGTTGTAACATGTTACAATTTATCCCAAATTCACTTCTACAATTCTCCTACCTAGCATACGAAAAGCGAGCGAAAATTTTGACCTATGCCATATTTCGCTTTCCAGATATACTAAGAAAAAGGAAAACAAAACTCAAATCTTTAATGTTGACTCTTTTTCTAAAAGTTTATTTTAGTTTTACTGATAAATATTGTATATAATGAAGTGTCGTGTTGATTTTTAAAAAATAAAGTCTAAATATGTATCAACATCAGCTTTATTTTTACTGTTACTACTTGCCTATGGCTGTTACAACTAGCCCCAAACACGGGGCAAGTTGTAACAGTGCACTTTTTTTTTAAGAGAATGCTTGGTATGAAGTAAATATGAACAATTTTGACCTTTTGCCTGTTCAGTCCAGTAAGGGAATAGTTAGACTACCGACAGATACTTTTATAATGGTCAAACAGCTAATAGATACCAAATTATATTCGTTTTCCTAAAAACTGTTACAACAAGCCCCTCGTTCCCCTACTCCTATATCCTCTGCAACACCAATTTGGAAATCTGGAAAAATAAGTATATATATTACTTAGTTTTATTAATAGAGCTTTAAGTATTTAGTTATTTTAATTATAAATACCAGCTCGTGGTTATTTCAAGTAAATAGGTACTTGCCTTCTAGCATCAGCTTTGACTGAAGCTTTATTAATACAGATATAACTATTTACTTATAAAATTGTCAGTATAAGCATTTACTTCTCTTTATTAATACCACCCAATATCTTAGCTTTTCGTGGTACAAACACGTTTTGTTGTAAATTTGACGCACCAGCCATTTTTCTGGCTTTTCTTTCGTTGTTTATTTATAAATTGTCATGAGCCACCAAATCCACCGTTCTTTTAATTAAGGGCTTAAGAGGCTAATGTTTTATAACATTTCTGCGAACTTTTTTTTTTCAAGGAAAAGGGGAAAATGCGATACCGGTAGTTTTTGTTACATGGTCAAAAAGTGATACCTACTTTTTTCTGTCGAGTAATTGGATTGCAGTAGCGAGACGAAGCGTACCGTAGCTGAACGTATGCAAAATTACAAGTCAGCAAAAGGCACTTTTCGGCCAAATAACAAATACTACTTTTTCTGCAAACGAATCTGGTGCCGGTGTACTGCCGCGACCGGCAACGAGTAAACACAAATTAATGCATTAACATGTTGTTATCATTAGTTGTTATTTATTTATTCCGAAAGATGCTGGCTTCAAAGGATTTCAAAATAAGATTGTGCAAGAGCAAAAGTAAGTAATGGAAGTTGCAAATGGTGGGTACTCCACATGATTTGAAGGAAATTGCGAAAGAAGCAAGAGAAAAGGAAAAAACGCTACATGCCAATAGCACTAACACCATTGATAATACAGGCATGATCAATTTTCAAAGTTGTAGTAATTAATTGCACTCTTAATAAAAATATCACTAGGGGAACAGCAAACAGTATGGAAAGGGCGGGCAAATCATTGATTTCGGTACTGAGTTTATAGCCACTAGATTACATATAGTAGCGTCACCTGGGTCTCCTGGCTGGTCCCAAATTGTGTTGGTTGCACTGAAGTAACTAAATGTCAGATGTTTTGGTTGTGTTTTGTGTTGTCTACCCTGGTGTAAACAACGTAGCACAAAAAGTCAAAACATGTTTTGTTGTCAAAACTCTAAAGACCATTTTGTTGTTAATTGCAAGTGCGTGTGTTTGTTGTTCGTGTGGAGATTTGCGTTAAATTCAATAAAAATGCCGATTTGTGAAGATGGAAAAAATATTTCGAAACACTTTACATCTTCTAAATAACAATAACATTAAAAATGATCAAATATGCAATATGGTACTCAACAGTTTGGAAAAAACAATGTTTTGTACCTGCGGCAATAACATAATTGAAAGTATTGTTAAATTATACAGAGAGTTCATTAATGATCGAGAACCACGTGACCAGTTAATTATTTGTAACTAAAAAATCGATTGGCATTATTGATTAATGATCAATTATTTTTACTAAATTGTTATCGTTTATCTGCCATTAGTGTCATTTACGATCAGTAGCGTCCTTGTAGTAATAATTCCCATTCTCGTTCTGTTTTTAGTGTTTTCTAATTGTTTACTTACATACAAATCAGTTCTTTTCAGAACTAATTACTTGTTGAAATTAACAACTGTGTGGTACGTAATCAAATTTGGTAAAATTTTACAAAACGCAGGCACTGTTCGATTTCACACAAACTGTTTGCAGAAAACTCTTCTAGAGCACCCCCTGATCACGTTCCTCACCTTCAAATGTAGTGCCACAAAAAATTGTTAAATTTTGCATTCCTTTACTCTTTAATATCAGCCGTTGCTAATATAACCTAACTTCTTACAGTCACCAACGCGCGGATGCGCGGAAGGGTAATGTCTGATTTTTAATAGACACACGGGTTCTTCGCGCCCACAGACTATCCCCTCGCGCCATACACCCCATCACAAACATACTCTTTAACGTGGAACTTCTTGCTCCGTGATCATTTAGTTGTTGGAATTGGTGTCAGTTAAATTGCGTGTGCAGTATATGGCGTATATCGGCCGCAACTATAGGGTGCGAACACTGAATATGTTTTTCTGACACAAGGTGTCATTTATACACATCTGAAGGTTAGAAACGTGTTCAGGGGGTGCTGCAGAAGAGTTCTGTGGAAATGGTTTGTGCGAAGGCGAATGGTGCGTTGTGTGAAGTTTCACACCAAATGTCTATATAAAATTAAGTACGTTTACTTTGACATTTTCAGGAAAACTTGTTGTTTAACAATGGTTTTCACACCCGAACAGGATGCTTTCATTCTGGTGGCTCACTTTCGAAGTGGAACCCGAAACCCAGACGGAACCTGGTCTTATTCACTGCAGTCGTGTATTGACCAATTTACGGAAGCCTTTCCAGATGCCAATGTTGGGTATCAAACATTTGCAAATCATAAGGGGGTCCTTGTTCATCGTTTTGAGACTAAAAATTGTATTTGCAAAGGAAAGACAACTGGCAGAAAAACTGTTTTGACTGAAGAAGTTACAGAAGACATCCAGCATCGGTTAGAACAAAGTCCAAATAAATCTATACGAAAATTATCAGCACAGACAGGTAAAGATTGGTTGTCAGATTTTTTATTTTTTAAAGGCGTTAAATATTTTCATAAGAATTAAAGAGATTTTATGATACAGTTTAAAAGTTAAATTGTTGCAGGTCTTTCAGTCGGAAGTTGCCATAAAGCACTACAGAAAGTTCTGCACATGCACCCGTATAAAGTTTCAGTCGTCCATGAATTACTTCCACCAGATTTTGAGCGAAGAATAAATAATTGCCAATGGTTTAATAATAATTTAAATGATGATGCCTTATTAGGCTTAACATTTTTCACTGATGAGGCATGGTTTCATTTGAGTGGATACGTGAATAGTCAAAATTATAGAACATGGGCTACTGAGAATCCTCATAGTTTTGTAGAAACTAGTTTGCATCCCATAGAAGTTGGAGTTTGGGTAGCCATTTCAAGAAGAAGAATTATAGGACCGATTTTTTTTCACGATACGGTGAATGCTGAAAGATATCGCACTAATATTCTACAACCCTTTTTTGAACAACTGCATGATGACGAATGCCAGTATGGTTACTTTCAGCAAGACGGAGCGACGGCACATACAGCAGGAAGCACACTTCGTTTCTTGCAGGAAGTTTATGACGATCGAATTATAAGTCAAGGACTGTGGCCCCCAAGATCGCCAGATCTCACCGCGCCGGATTTTTTTTTGTTTGGTCATTTGAAGAACAATGTTTTCAAAAATAGGTTGCATACCATTGATGAGCTGCAACAACCAATAACCCATGAAATTGAAAATATAACTCCTTACACTCTTCAACGAGTATTTGATAATATGAAAAGAAGAGTTAATATGTGTATTGCTAACGAAGGAAATCATTTTCAACATTTATTGTAAATACCTAAATAAAAACAATTTATGAAATGCTTTATTTTTTTATTCTTAACTCCTTTGTGACGCCAATGAATTTAGGGACATTAATCTGCACTATTGCCAATTGTGTATGTTTGGTTGCATACATTTTTGATCACGTGGTTCTCGATCATTTATGAACTCTCTGTATATAAGAAGTAGGGTGTATTTTTATGTAAAAAAACGTAACCAAAATAACAGAGCAATAGTGTACAGTTCAAAGTCTATGAATAAAAATAATAGGAGATACATATGCTTTTTTTTGCCCCATTTTCTTGGAGAGATTCATATACTACAACGTAGCACAGAGTCAAAGCCTGTTTTGTTGTCAAAACTCAAAACATCATTTTGTTGTTTATTGCAAGTAAGTATGTTCTGTTATTCGTGTGGGGATTTGCGTTAAAATCAATAATTAATATATATAAATGTATTAATAATAACAATTTTTCCTGTTTTGTGTATCAAATTTTAATTTTACACAATTTTTAATTTAAAGGAGGCGCCATTTTTCGCCTGGATTTTAAGTTGGCAGCACTAGTGGGACCAGTTAGTGACCCGATGTCGCTACTATATGTAATCTAGTGGCTATAACTGAGTTGACTTAGTAGCGGTCTCTGTCGGGTTTTAAAATAACTAACGTACATATTTCGCTTTAGTAAGTACCTAAAATAGCTGTTCAGATCTGATCGCTAAAGTGTGAAATGGTTCTGCGTTGCTAAAAATTCAGGGTAAGTAAACAAAATCGGTTTTCTCTATAACTTTTTAATACATCCTAGTTCTTATTTTGTAAAACATTGTATAAGCGGAAATTTTAGTGCAGGTCTTAAAGGCGACTGATTGTTTATCTGTCTTAATTATTAACCCCCACTTAAGATACATATCTCAGATGCCGAGGGTGCATTTTGTTAGTTTTTTAAATAAATATATTTGTAAAAATTATAATCCTACACAAGTAATATTCTAGGCCTCTGTAATTGTTGTCGTCGAATTACTAACGGAAACGGGTTTTAGTACAGGTTTATTTACAATACCAACTACACAGTGATAATACAGCCCAAGGTTGTAAGTGTATGTCCACGTGGAGGTCTTTGAAGAGGAGAGGACGTCTGCACACGGGGAGTAGTCGGAGAAGAAGAGACAGTTTTTTTGCTCTACGTTTCGGCTATGGCGTTTCCTCTTTGGGCTTGCGCGTTGTAACTGCCAATCCGGTGGCTGCATTCTGTGTGTATAACTGGTTGCATACTTCCAGGCGGCCACAGTAGTCCCCTCCCAGTGACTACGTTTCGTAGTCGCGGAATTTCACTGGTGGCCTGGCTGTTCTTCCTGACCTTGTGGTGGTGCTCGTCGACGCAGGTGTTGTCGGGACCTGTTGCGTTGGGGGCTGCACATGAGGCGGAGTGCAGGACTCTGCCGATATGAAAGCCGGTTTTACTCGGTCCAGGCTCACTGTGGTTTCTCTTCCATTCATGCTTATCACTATCACCTTGTCTGTACGTCGTAATACGTGGTGTGGTCCGGTGTATGGTGGTTGTAGCGGCTTCCTGACTGAGTCATCTCTGAGGAAGATGTGGGAACAGTCAGACAGCTCTGGGTGGACAAAAGTCTTGTGGTGGCCATGGTGGGTTGCTGGTCTTGGTCGGACGTTGCGCATGTGGAGCCTCAACTTGTCGACGAAATTGTTGGGGTCGACTTCTGGCTCGTCGTTTGCGAAGAAAAATTCCCCCGGGATTCGTAGTTGCGTGCCGTAAGTCAGCTCGGCTGGGGAACACTGAAGGTCATCCTTGATTGTTGTCCTTAAACCTAACAGCACCGTAGGGAGGATGTCGTACCAGTCACTGGTCTCGTGGCACATGATGGCGGCTTTGATCGTTCTGTGCCACCTCTCGATCATCCCGTTGCACTGTGGTCGGTATGGTGTGGTTCGGCAACGTTTAGTGCCCAAAAGGTCTGTGAGGGCAGACATCAGTGTGGCCTCGAACTGCCGGTCTTGGTCAGTTGTAATACGGTGGGGGCAACCAAACCGCGCAACCCAGGTTGCGTAAAAGGTTTTCGCCACCGTCTCCGCCGTCATGTCCGTCATTGGAATTACTTCTGGCCATCGGGTGAACCTGTCTGTCATCGTGAGGCAGTACCGGTGTCCCTGTGATGGTGGTAATGGCCGAACGATGTCCATGTGTACATGTTCGAATCGGCATTCTGTAAGTTCAAAATGTTTTAGGGGTGTTCTAGTGTGCCTACTCACCTTTGACCGCTGGCAAGGAAGGCATTCGCGCGCCCATTTTTTTATGTTGCGTTCCATGTATGGCCACACGAAACTTTTATGTACCGCCTTGAATGTGGCTTTGCCGCCTGGGTGTGATTTGGAATGTACCATGTCAAATACCCTTTTTCGTAAGTGGAGGGGTATGTAGGGGCGAATTCTCCCTGTGGCCGTGTCGCACCAGATCGCTGTATCCGAATTCATGGGTGTGAGATTCTGTAGCTTCAAACTGGTACTGGAGTTCAGCAGGTTTCTCAACTCCAGGTCTTGTTCTTGGGCGGAGGCGAGTTCGTCCGGGTCGATCACTGCTGCCGTGTGAACTTCGCTGATTCGGGATAATGTGTCCGCCACCATGTTGTTTTCGCCCGGAATGTGTTCTATCTCAGTAGTGAACTGACTGATCAAGTCGAGTTGGCGTAGCTGCCTCGGGGAAGCTTTCTCTGAGTTCTGTTTGAACACGTAAACCAAAGGTTTGTGGTCCGTTCTAACCGTGAAGACTCTCGCTTCTACCATGTAGCGAAAGAACTTGATGGCTTCGTATATCGCGAGCAGTTCGCGGTCGTACGTGCTGTACCTTCGTTGGGTGTTGGTCAACTTTTTTGAGAAAAATCCCAGGGGTTGCCAGTCGCCTTTAACCTCCTGCTCCAACACAGCCCCCATGGCTGTATCCGAAGCATCGGTGGTCAATCTTAATGAGGCGTTCTCAGAAGGGTGTGCTAGCAGCACAGTGCTCGACAACTCGCTCTTGCACTGGCTGAACGCTTCTTCCGTCTCATTAGTCCAGCTGATTGGCGTCTTGTCATTCTTTTTTGAATTTCGCAGGTACACATGTAGCGGGGCTTGGATAGATGCGGCATTCTTGACAAAGCGACGATAAAAGTTGATCATGCCGAGAAACCTTCGTAATTCCTTCACAGTTTGCGGCTTAGGAAAATCACTTATCGCCGTCACTTTCGCGGTTGCTGGACGGGTCCCGTGAGTCGAAATGCTATGTCCTAGGTACTCCACTTCACTTGCCCCGAACACGCACTTTGCTGCATTAACCACGATTTGGTGTTGCTTCAGTCTTTCAAACAGCGTTTTTAAATGTCGCACGTGCTCCTCTGGGTTCGCGGAAAAAACTAAAATATCGTCTATATATGCGAAACAAAAGTCTAAATCGTTGAGCACATTATTGAGGTGTCTTTGAAAAGTTTGCGCTGCATTGCGTAGGCCAAAAGTCATCACTGTGAACTCAAATAAACCGAATGGGGTACACACCGCAGTTTTGGGGATGTCCTCGTCGGCCACTCGTATTTGGTGGTAAGCACGTACCAAATCTATCGTGGAGAACACCGTTTTTCCCTCTAGTCTGGCCGAGAAGTCCTGGATGTGTGGTATGGGGTATCTGTCTGGGATTGTTACCCCGTTCAGCCTCCGATAATCCCCACAAGGACGCCATTCCCCAGGATTCTTCTTCTGTACGAGGTGCAGTGGGCTGGCCCATGGACTGCTGGAGGGGCGACACCAACCTTGCTCCAACATGTACTGGATCTCAGCTTTGGCAGCCTTGAGTTTCTCCGGTGGTAGTCTGCGTGGTGTTTCAGCTACAGGAGGGCCGGTTGTGTATATATGATGCACTACGGAGCTGGATGTTTGACTTCCCGGACGTGGTGCTTTCGTCAATTCCGGGTATTCCGCCAGCAGGTTGTGGTAGCTGGAGGTTTTTGCCACCGTCGTAATACGTGGTACGGAGCAGGCCAATACGAAACCAGGGGAAGAGAGATGTGTCAAAGGGTCTACCAGCTTCCGGTTTCTCAGGTCCGGTAGGAGGTGGTAGTACTCGAGAAAATCGGCCCCTATTATTGGTTTCTCGACGTCCGCGAGGATGAAAACCCATTTAAAAGTTCTGCGTAGTTTCAAGTCAACCACCATGAATTTCTGGCCGAACGTGCGGATGGGTGTGTTGTTCGCTGCAAATAGGGCGGGTGTATCTTGTGTCTGTGACTGAGCCTTACCTAAAAACGTTTTCGGCAGGACTGAGACCTCTGCTCCGGTATCGACTAGGTACCTGATACCGGATTTGGGATCCGTGACGAAGAGACGATGATGACGCGCGTCGTCGTGTACCGCCTCGATACCCGACGGTGCCTCTAGTTTTCCGGCTGTACAAACGTGCAAGGTTCGAAACACTTTCGGGCGTTTACACCGAACTTGGCGTGGTAATAACAAACGCCATTTTGATCCGTGCGTTGCCTGCTGTGTGTCCTTGACCGATTTCGACGGTCATTCTGCCGTGCTTAATGTGACTCGATCTTGAAATGTGTGGCAATTAGTAACTTTTATGAAATAGAAATATATCTGTGTCCTTGTTATGCTCCGTCTTTTCGACAGCAGGTATTTTTTGCTTCCAGTATGGCGATCCTGTTACTGTCATTTGGCCGTCAATTGCCTTGGTGGTAACACGTCTTCCACGACTGTTTGCTGGTTACCGGTGACACTTTCTCGTTGAATAGGGCTGGAGTTACTTTGGGACTGGAATAGTGTTCTTTCCGGTCCGTTAACTCAATAATTCTAGTACAGTCTGTCGTAACCTCAAATCGTAAACACATCAAACTTTCGTTGACAGATAGCGAAAATTACTAGCCTCGCGCTATCTTTGTTTAACACATAGGTTAGGTTCCCCTCTGTCGAATTCCGACCACAGGCAGTTTGCCGTACTTTCTAAAAGTAATAGTAGATCTAGTGACTTTAGCCGTGCTTGGGGACTGCGCCCTCTCGTGTTGCTTAGGTGATTTACGGCTACCGATAAGGCCGCCATCTGTTTCTGGAGGTCTACAATTATCGTAATGAGGTTAGTTTCCTGCGTTGGTACGATGGTGTTCTGCCGCGTCGTGTCGCTGGTGGCGCCTATCGCGTTGATACTGGAAGTCATAGCGTTGCTTCTGTGTATTTCCGCCAATTTGTCCGCGATTTCTGCCATCTTTTCCAGCGGTACTCCCTCGCTCGCAGACAGCACGAGTTGGACATGTGGTGGAAGTCGCTGTAGCCAGAGCGTTTTTACGACTTCGCTATTCATCTGCTGCCCCGCGAGTGCCTTCATTTCGCGGAATAACTGGGATGGTTGTCGGTCCCCTAGCTCCATCTCGTTAATCAGCTTTCGTAGCTGCTTCTCCTGTGAATCGGTGTAGGCGGCTATCAGTTTCTTCTTAATTGTGTCGTACCTCTCTTTGTCTGGTGGGTTCGCTACGATGTCTGTGACTGGCTGGAGTGTGCTGCAGTCTAGCGCCGCTACCACGGTGCAATACTTCGTCTGGTCCGAGGTTATCCGTGCGGTGTGAAACTGTGCTTCAACCTGTGCGAACCACAACGCTGGATCGCGTCGCCAAAATGTCGGTAGCTTCAAGTTCGACGATGTGACCTTTACTTCGTCGAGGTTCTTGAGCAGCTCTTCATCTCCCGTGGTTTTGCTTGCTCGAGTATTGGCGAGTTCTTGCTCTAGCTTCCGGATGGCTTCTTGCTGTTTTTCGAGTTGCTGTTGCAGTTCTTCGGCAGTCGGCATGTTCGTACCCGTAGTTCTTCGATCACGTCGGGGTCACCAATTGTAATTGTTGTCGTCGAATTACTAACGGAAACGGGTTTTAGTACAGGTTTATTTACAATACCAACTACACAGTGATAATACAGCCCAAGGTTGTAAGTGTATGTCCACGTGGAGGTCTTTGAAGAGGAGAGGACGTCTGCACACGGGGAGTAGTCGGAGAAGAAGAGAGAGTTTTTTTGCTCTACGTTTCGGCTATGGCGTTTCCTCTTTGGGCTTGCGCGTTGTAACTGCCAATCCGGTGGCTGCATTCTGTGTGTATAACTGGTTGCATACTTCCAGGCGGCCACACCTCTAAAGTTAACCTTTCCATACTGCCTGCCATTTCTCTAACTAATTCAGTGTTGTTGATGCGGTGTTTTATTATGAAATAAAAACTTCAACAGTAAAAAACATACTTTTTCTGCCTAGACAGAAGAAGTGTTACCTTGCTTTTCATTATTTATAACAAAATTGTCTAAAAACAATAAAAAGAACAGGGACTTTTTGACATTTGGAGAAAAATAGTATATGTAAATTCGGATAAGGCATATTAGCGGCCATGCTCGACGCTGCTAATTTGCTTCTTATTGCACTTGTTACATAACATGCTGTTGTAATGCTATTATTTTAAAATTAAAATGCTAACAGAACTCATGGATATTTGCCACGTATGTTCCAATTAATACATATAAGGTAACTGTACCCTATATGGCCTACCTAAGCTTTGAGATTTTTTTAAATTTTTGTAAGAACTTGAAATGGAAGAGTAATGCTGAGAGTCGAAGAGGTTACATTTTTGTACATGATTTTCAAATTTCAGACATTTTCAAAATTGTAGAGCCCAACAGTACCCGGTTTAATTAAAATGTGTCTTTAGACCAAATTGAGTACATAAATCCCAATAAAAAAAATAAGCACGGAAAAAAAGTTTATTGACAAACAAATAGTTAATTTTCACAATAAGGAGAAATAAAAATATCTTTATCATTTTTAGTGATATCCACGCACTCCTAGTGGACGTATTTGTTACATACGAAGCATATTCTCATGTCTTTTCCAATATTTTCTTGGTACATCTCGCAAAAACAATTTTCTTGCTTGTTCCGTGAGCTTGCTTTTTGTTCATAGTATTTTAAATTAGCTTATTCACAAAAAAAATCAAACGAGAACTGCAGTATGTACCCAACAGGCCAACAGCCCGCCCAGGCCATATTGATTCCATATCACAAGCGAACATATTATCAGTAACCTCAACTGAAAAGCTGTTAAGAAGTACAACTAATGCAGATCATTTAAAAGCGGAAAAAAGGAGCTACACAATCTAAAAAAAATGGAATTGCTAACGTAATTGAGATTAAAACTATCCAGAGAAAATTTAGCGGCATAAAATAGAACGCATACTGACTCGTCAAATCACCATCACAAATAATTCCATTGTAAGTAAACGAAACACATTTTGTTTGAAACCTTTGAGAAAAAGCAATAGGGCATATTGGGTACTAGGCCATATTGAGTTTAGTTACCTTAAATACATTAGCTTGATTTGAGTAACTAATTTGTAACTTCTGTCGCGTTTCTACGCGAAGTATGCAATGACGTCATATAAGAAAGGAATCCCAAACGGTGCAGGGAACCTAAATTATCGAAAAATTAAGATTGCTCCAGAAACTATAAAAATTAATTATAATGGACGTTATATCTTCTCGATCAAATAAAATTTCCGTCTGCTGAATTTCTCCTACAATTTTATCTGTACTTATGTACTATACTCCAGGTGCGATTTGAACTAACGATTCCATCCACATTTCTAAGGATTTTTCAGCAGTACTGTCATCGTTCCCAACGTGATATCTATAATACATTTTAGTTATCCTTCATATACAGAGTATCTATGGTGTTGAACATACAAAGAAACGCCGGCAATCCGGCAAAAGAGCTTCACGCAAAAGCCACTTATTTCCGTACTACATCGGAAGCGGTCGGTTGTCAACAGACGATCAGAGACGTTGCACTTTGGTTACGAATGGGTTCACAGGTCAGGGGGTCGATTCTCGAACTCGTTCGCAAAGATGCGAATACGAATAGATGCGCATGCCAAGATGCTATTCGAAACGAAAATCCGTCTTCTTGAACGAGATCCAATGCGAATAGCAACTCGATGCGCATACGAAGGCCTCTGTTCGAGTGAGGATATGGCAACAGCGGCAAAATACAGAGGATATTTAAATGCGATGGTTGGCAGAACTCACGCGGGGTGAGTTTGAATCCAAGGACTATTTTAATCTGTTACCTTCAAATTTATTAAGCAGCAAAACACGTAGTAGCAGGATTGGCCCGATTTAAATTATTGCTTTGAAGTATTATTGTTTTTTTTTTTAAGTTTTCTTTACAGATTGGAATATGTAATGCATATTACGGCCCTTTTAATGCAAATTTATATCAAAATAAGTTGAACTTTAACTAAAATACAATATTTCCAACAAAATGGAACGATAATTCTTTTAAATTGTATTTTAAAGATTATAGGAGTGAATATTATATTAATAACACTATCAATTCCTTTTTTGCAATGTAAATTACAATAAATTCTCTTTATTGTTCAAAACTAAGAAGTACGACTCAAGGATGACGTTAAGTCGGATACTTACTATTTTAATTAGCATTTTAATTCCAAATAATTGACAGACTAAAAAAACATAAAAAATCGTGATTAAAAAAAATTGTTGATTTTACGATTTTATGCAACCCTACGTATTTAATACAAATTCTTGTGATTTTTTTACAATGATGCAGATACAAACTTAATGTTTATTTTTGAGTGGGACCTCCACAGCCAGCAGGTATTTGCATATTAATACCTTTATTACTGCGTGTACTCTCCTAGTTTATAGAAAATTCTTAGGGTTAGGTTACCCGATGTTTATTCAGGTATACTTATGCATACCATTACAACCGTTTTGTACAGTAAATGAAAACTGAAATTTGAAACAACTGCACGTATACGTATTTGAAATGTTCGCAGTGGCTAGCCAGAGTCACCTAAAAATTATTGTTACTACCATAATAAGAACGTGTTAATGTATTATTAGAAATTACCCAAAATATCGCAATAGTGCGTTGTTTCTTCATACATATGTAGCTATCATATGTACTACACAGAAATCGGCTGTTTCAATTTAAAATTTTTAAATTTGCATCACAAATGTCAAAATTGTAAATGAAATTATAAAATTCCCACAATCAAATTGATACATTACAATTTGGGTATTTTTGGAATGGTAACCCTTTCTATTAATGTATACAGCGTGTTTTTGAAAGGTACGTACAAAATAAAATCGGCAATTGGTATCGAAGTATGGGTGCTAAAAGTTAAAAAAAGTTCAGGTAAAAGTGTTCTCGTTTTAGAGATAAAAATTATTAAAATTGATGTCCAAATTCGTTGTACGCCTCTGATAAAAAGATCATCTCTCGTTTCTATAGCAACATTTAGTCTTGACAAAAATTTTATTGTTACAGTTGCTAGGATTTACTAAAATAAATTAATTTTACCTATTTATCTTTCAGTAGCGTCTAAAAAGGTTGGATAAGGGTTAATTTTCCCCTTATAATTTTGATAACACAAAATAAGTTTTTCAGATTTCTTGGACTTCGCGAAGAACTGTCAATTTTGTTGTACGTACCTTTCAATAACACCCTGTATTAACAGATATAGCAGATTAAAGATATTATATTGACGTTAACACAGAACGACCAAAACCAAACAGAGTTTTAGGTTAGCTTTCACCACTCGCAAACCAAAATGCGATCGCGTCTACCCACTCCACGGCTGTAGAATAGATAGGTTCAGTATCTTTCATTCATTCCCGTTCCGGTAGGTGGAATAATTTCTTTCCGTACCAGTTGGCCATGACGCGCGTTGTCAAATGGGTCCCTCTTACGGTATTTAGCGGCATTAATTTTTGCCACATCAAAAGGACACGATTATACCGACATAAATGACAACTTTGACATTTAATCAAAGCATTTAATAATAATTTTTATGTTAAACGTTCAATCTTTTGGAAGCGTCTTTGACCATTGTTTACACTAGCTACTATGCGACTTCTCTGAAACCGTTTTTGCAGAACCCTCATACAACGCCCCTGCCCTGAACGCGTTCCTACTCTTCAAATGTTATGAGTATGAGAAATGTTTGTACAACATTTGAAGGTTAGGTAGGAACGTGATCAGGGGTGTTGTATGAGGTTTTTGTGGGGGCGGATTCGGCAAAATCGCGGTGGCTAATGTAATCAATCACCGAAAAGTTCTTAACCAGTACATTGTCAACTTGTTTTTCGAAGGAATCTGTGTTTATCTGGTCATCGCACATGCTTGTTTAATGATTGTTTACATGAAACAATAGTGCTAGAAATATCGAACAAACCTGCGGTTGCCGAGGTTTGTTATGTATAAATGTACGTTCCTCTCTGAGTTGGCGATCTCGTTAAACCAATTTAAACAGTAATTTCTATCATAATACATCAACTAGAAGTAGAATGACAGTTTTGGCAACCTGTCTAGTGTTGGGCGATTACGAATGATATAATCGAGATATCTCGATTATACCCGAATAATCGATCATTCGATTATCGTTTAGAAATCATTCGTTTATTCGATTATTCGTTTCGTTTTTCGTTCCGATTGCGCACGAGTACACGAACCGATTACGATTCGAGATTTCGAAATAATTCATTCGGATTCAGGCAACTAACCGTAGAAAATAATCGAAATCGTTAGTAAATTTCATTTGTTAGGTTGGTGGTAGTGTGTTACAAGTGTCACTGCGAATGCGAAATGTCATTTTGAAGATGAACACGTCAATAACGAAAGGTTAGGAATATAAAAATTTATTTGTTACATTTGCAAATTTGTGTTTAAAAAAACAATATAATCTAAATTTTTAGGTGCAAGTCGGTTTCTTCGCAAATTGGTTATGAGACCAGTTTTCGAAATTATTCTTTCTGACGGTACGGAAGTGGCTGGTGCACAAAGATATTTTTCATGGAGCTTGAATAATTCGGGAAACAAATTTTTATTCTCCATCCAAAAGCTCAAAGGATTGCATGTTCGGGCTATGTTTGGCATTGATAAATATTCCTTTATCATTACAATAGCTTTTGCTTTTGGTGAAACAGCTAATACATTTGTGGATCTGGCAATTTTGTCATCAAGGTAATTCCATAACATATCAACATTAACAGAAGAGTCATCAGGCTGGTTTTTAATGACTTATATGCACCCATCGAAGCACCATGTTCTCCGGAAAAGATGATGAAAATATGGTGGAAAACAACGCACGCTTTGGAATATTTTTCATGTTTTTCTTGGTGAAGAAGTTAAAAATTTTATCATTTTTTTTTAACAAATTTTACATTTTATTTTTATGGGTGTCTGTCAGTTGTATCACTTTATGCAATAAAATGCCACCGATGTGAAGAAATGTTAAATTTGAACAAATTGGCGCCTTTGACACAGGCAGAATTGTGGCTATGCGAGAGGCTGGTTTGTCGTACCGCGAAATTGCTGCAAGAAGAATCGTTCGAAATGCTTCGACAATTTTACGAATATGCAGGGCGTGGTAAATGTTGCAATTTTTTTGAAAAGCAGTGTAATTTACAAACATAATTGGCTCGTCTGATTTTTTTTTTGTTAAGCCATTCGGTTTCAAAAATTTTGATTAGAATTAGTGAGAAAAGAATACGATAAAAGCATATACCAAAGAGAAAAAAAAAATAACGAACATCTCTAAATATTAAATAAGGGAAAAGAATACGGACCACTGACATTGTAATAAAATATTTTCAATCGATAAATAAATCGTAATTGAATGTTCGATTCAAATTTCGTTAAGTCATGCGCACTGGATAATAATCGAATTTTCGAGTGATCATTCGATTATTTTAAACGATTATTTCGATTCATTCGATTAGTGAAATATATCGATTATGCCCAACACTAAACCTGTCAGTTGTCAATTTGCCATTGCAGTAGTGGAAAATTTCATTCATAAAGATGTTAGTGTGTAATCGTAATTCACAGATGGCGAAACGATCTAACGCGCGCCAAAGCCGCCTAGGACCACCATATTCTATTCCACCAAATTTCCCTTAGTGTACCAACCTTATATTCTACAGCCGTGACCCACTCGTAACTTGACGTTCGTATACGCTCGAACATTTGGGTATACCAACGTGTGCGCGCGGTTCGAGAATACCGAATCTTCAAAACCGCTCGAAAGTTGGTCACTTGCGTATGCGGAACTTATTCGAACGAGTTCGAGAATCGACCCCCAGGGTAGCAAATAGTAAAAGAATTTAACCTTTACCCATTCATGACTCTTACCATTAACCATGGTAGAGGGAGACATGGTATAGGCATCCGATCTACCAATTTAAAAATGGTCTGCGCATCCATTTGTGACGTTAGGTGGCATCAACGACCTTGTGACTCTTGTGAGCTTCGCTAGGGAAGTCTAGGGAATTTCAGCTTGAGTTGTCATTGCTCTGTCCAATACGTCAATTAGTTGTCGGATAACGAAAGTTTGTATTTTAAATTTCGCGCTAATTTCACCCCACTTGACGTCACACCCGATGCGTATGCCTATACCATGTCTCCTTCTACCATGCCATTAACATCGATGAAATATATATGTACTTAATCAATGCAATTAACTTGCATTAATGTTTGTCTCGTATGTCCAGGCTTTCGATAAGCGCTTTCGAGTACGCTACTGGAACAACTCGGAGGAGCTGGAAGAACCATTCATGATCCCAGTCGAAAGCTCGGTATCAGGTGCTTTTTCCCTCCTCTTATTCTATCTTCATGGCTGTAACCAATCGTTACGTGTCCACTGGAGAGTAACTTTGCGAGAATTCGCCATAGTTACTTTCAAGGGCTTGTCGATTTGAGAGGATGCTTTGGAAAATGTTGCTTGCCGATAGATGTTAAATGTCTGTCGATCATACAAAGCTCTCAAAACCCTGTCCACGACACAGCTGTACTTGCGAGGAAAATGGACCCTCTTTACTCGAACCGACAAAGAGTTTATGATTTTACGACCCTTTTGTTAATTTATTTTTCAAGAAATGCGGTCAAACATTAAAAATTGTGAAAAGAAATACGCAAATGCGCGATGCTATTTCTATTCATGAAATAGTAATAGTAACATTACGGTTTTTTGTATCAAGTATGTAAAAGCTTATTTCATTCAATGCAAATCATTGAACGATATAAGGTGTTCTCCATAACTTATGGCAAGCAGATTTTGTGATTTTTGGACCCTTCTTTTCTGTGTCACAAGTTGTCACATTCATATGATCTCTGTTATGACATGTAATTTGCAAAATTTTAATGTACATAGAGTTAATTTTGATTAAAACAACATTGCGATTATTACTCTAATTTAATATTATATAAAATCTTCTTTCCATATGTCTCTTAAAAATGTAAACAATTGGTCGAAAGTTGTTTCGACAGAACTTCCCTCGCACCGAAAGAACAATGAAATATATCTAATCAATGTCGTTACTCTCCAGCCATTTTGTAGTATCATGTTTTTTTTGGAAGTTGGTGCCTTATTAAAATTATCGTACTATTATACGGAGCATTATGCATGATGATAAGAGATGGTTCTTCTAAACTAGCTAACAGGTGTTGTTCAAACCAATGCAAAACAATTATGTTGGTCTATTTCGCCATGATAATCAATCACCATCTTTTGTTTTGGAGAAGAATACCAGGAATGAATCTTTTGAGACAACCTGCATGCAAAACAATGTATCTATAAACAATACAAATTAAAATAATGTTTTCTATGTTTTATTAAAATACTGTGTTCATATTGTTTTCAAACATTTAATTACCTCGCACCTCCACATTTTTTTTACACTTTTCACGCTTGAATCCTGCCAGGAATAACCGATCGTACCATCTTGGAAAATCTATGCCTAGTCTAAAAAAAACTAATCGGAACAATCCCTCATTTTTGAATTTTTTTAATTCCTGGAGAAAAGTGTGACGTTTCAACACGATATTGGGCAATTCCATTAACCCACGTCTCGGATCATCTTTTCAATTTCGTCAGCCGATAAATCGCAAAATTGATTGATGTTAATGCGTAAGATTTGGTTTGTTTTATGCTTATATTTTACGTTGCGTTATTGTGTAACGCATGTGTGCCTTATTTATTGGTTGACTAAAGTTAGGTATATTTCGTTTGTTTGCGGAAACCTTTGATTGCTAATTTGGTGTGATTTATTTGCTGTTGGTTCCTCTGCGTTTTTAATTGAAAGCCGTTAGTATCACGTGAAAATGTTGTGTATTCTTTTTTGTCTTGTTATCATTTTAACGTTACGTGTTTTCATCATCTTGAAACTTTTGCTTGGGTGTAGTATTTAGATGAAGTTGAGTAATTCTTAATAATGTGCGAATATAGGTTTGTAAGGTAATTATCTGGTCGTTGGGTAATACATACGCGATTAGATATGCGCAATTTGGTTGCTTTTTGCGAATATGTGAATTTAGTCCTTATAGGGTTATAGAATTATGTTTTAAAGTTTCTTATTGCGGTATTTTTGCGGCTTTGCCTCAAGGGTGGATCGTCACAAAATAATCGACTGAATAATATTTTGGAAAAATTGCAAAGCAGGCAATCAGGCGACAATTCTCCACCATGGAAATGTCACATTTTTTAAAGACAGCCGTCACAGTGGCCGTTTTCCATTTATTGGGAAATAACGACGATTTAATAATGAAATTGAATAAATACGTACCACGTAGCATAAAGAAGAAACAAAGATTGAGGCGCAATCCTTTAGGAGAAAACAAGGTATTTCGTCAACTCTTCCTGTAAGCGAGTCCTTGGAACGGTTTAAGGCTTGAAAAATACTAGGTCTTAAGGCCCCTACACAAAGAGCGGGAAGATCATGCAGTTAAAAGTGTGCACGCTTTTCTTAAGTTAAATCCCTACTCTCTATCTGTACACACACACTACTGCTTCCCTGTCAGTTCTGTAGCATTTGTATTATAAAAACTAAACTTGTAAAATAAGTCAGACTTCCTTTAAAAATGCGGCGCTATTTAAACTCAAGCGGGCTGCGACTTGTCTCCGCGCAGTTGTAACTGTGCACGTTAAAAATCAAGACGATTTTGCTGCCAACAGACCTGACTGCACATGCCACATTCTTTCCCATACACTAGTAAGAGATTTAACTGTACCTCGTGCACGTACAGTCAAGTCTTGACTCTTCCCTCTCTGTGTGTGGCCGCCTTTATGGTTTTTAAATCTGTTGTGAAAGGAAGTTTTTATTTGTATTAAGTGATTAACTCAATAATTTCAGAGTTGAACCTGGGTAACAACGCGATTAATTTCTTAATTTAAACCTAGGAACACAGATTTCAAATACAGGGTGTTATTGAAAGGTACGTACAACAAAATTGATGGTTCTTCGGGAAGTAGAAAAATTTATTTTGTGTTATCAAAATTATAAGAGAAAAATTAACCCTTATCCAACCTTTTTAGACGCTACTGAAAGATAAATAGGTAAAATTAATTTATATTAGTAAATCCTAGCAACTGTAACAATAAAACTTTTGTCAAGACTAAATGTTGCTATAGAAATGAGAGATGATCTTTTTATCGGAGCCGTGCAACGAATTTGGACATAAATTTTAATAATTTTTATCACTAAAAGGAGAACACTTTTACCTGAACTGTTATTAACTTTTAGCATCCATACTTCGAGACCAATTGCGGATTTTATTTTGTACGTATAGTTACCGTATTCGAGATACACCCACATAAATTTTTATGGGACTAATCACTCAAAAATCGGTGCTCCTGAAACCGCAACCATAAATTATGAAAAGGGCTTGACAGGTCATTTTATACAGAGCCGTATTCGGGTTGAGTTGAAAGTTTTACCTGCTTTCGGTAATGTTGTAGATATAATATTAGAAAATATAATAATCGTCCAGAAAGTTCTCCCGCTGTAGTAAATCTCATTAGACAACAATCAGAACTCATATCTTCTGAAAAATGGCAGAATTGTATTCGGCATGTTATAAAAGTTGAATCAACATTTGTAAATACACGGCCTAACGAAATTATAATTTCAATAAATAACGACTCATCTGAGTCTGAAAGTGACTTATAATCTTATAAATATTTATTTAACTAATACAATTTGTCTTTTATTTCACCTTATTTTTTAACACAGTACGGCCCTGAAAAATTCTGCCGGAACGTGCCGATATCTGGTCGCATAGGGTGTTAAAAGCAATAAATCACTGTTGCCATTGTGCAGGGGTTTCACTCATTATCTGTCATAAAGTTTTATGTGGGTGTATCTCGAATGAAATTTGTATACCTTTCAATAACACGCTGTATATTGTATACGATATCATAAAATTGTAAACAAGCAAACAGGGCCAGTCAGTTGA